TTGCTCGATCGGAGAATAGATTATAAGGGAAATGTGTGCATATTTTTCTTCTTCTTTTTATTTAATTAAAACAAAATGATAAAATCCAGACAATCAAGTTAATGGGAAAAAAATGTCACATAAGCAAAAAAACAGTTAGTCCACTCCAGCTAGCAACTACGGCTAAATTATTGATGAAATGACAATATTTATGTATTTTTCAAAAAATTACTATTAATGTCACATAATGCATACTTATCACTATCTAATGTATTTTGCGTTACGAAAATCATAGATCAATTAACACGTTTTGTTGAGACTACTGGTTTAATGTTTGGAAAGTTAAAGATCCTTCCATTTGGTCATTTTCCGATGTCTCATTCTAATCCTACCACTTTAACATTTAAACCTCAGTATTTCCTCTTAACAACTCATTGTCTGATTCTCTTCCAACTCAAAGAGATTCCTTTTAATAGGATGTTCTATGTAAAGTAAGAAATAATAAATTGACCATACAACCATGAAAACGAAAAATGAAAGCAAAATAGGTAAGAGTTTGGTTTCATGATGTAGACTTGCACAACAGAAGTGGGTATTAAGTGATGATCGCTCATTAAGGATATTTATTGAAAACGACCAAATGCCTTATACATATAATTCTATTTTTTGTTACATAATTACATTCAGTTGATGGCATATAATAAATTTGTTTTAGGGTATGCCTATGGTAACATGTATGTTACCGTAACTTGCACTTTTAAGTCGATCTCATATAGGATTAGGTCGACCTAATCTGCACTTTTAGGTCGATCTTATATAGGATTAGGTCGACCTAATATGACGTTTCAGTTTTGTGAGGTTCCCAAATACACTAATGTGGGCACCCTGATACTTATCACGGTCGACCTTTAAAATGTAATGGTCGACCGTTTGTAGTTTAAGTTGTCATTGTTGGTCGACCAAAATAAAACATCGGTCGCCCTTTTCATTGGCGTCAGAAGCAAAATGGTCGACCGTAAAGGTATATAGGTCGACCACTTGATGGCAATCATTAACAAAATGGTCGACCATTTACAGAAAGATGTCGACTAGATAGAAGAGAATTGTTGTATCCATTTATCCATCATATTTTGACGTAAAATGAAAATCAAGTGTTGGTTTCGCGGTCGACCTAATCCGGTACGAGGTCGACCAAATACAAGAAAATCAACCTATGCCCTGCGTCTTTTTTGCTTATGTATGTCGATGTGGCTGGTTCTTTTGCTTGTACAAATTACGTTTCAAACCAACAGAATCATTCATAAATAATTATAACAAGGACTCATAACTTCCACGTGGTCGACCTCTTGAATCACGTACAGCAGCAACCGCAAAGGATCTTCTTCACAAAAGCTCTAACCGTAAAAAAAAACCTAATTCAGAAGAGTTTCAGTGGCGGTTAAGGTGACATATATTCGTATTTATTGATATTTAGGACGAGAATGAGTCGAATTAAGTGGTAGATAAGTTAGGATTACCTTGTAGGTGTTGGAATCCTTATCCAATACGGATAAGGTGTGCACGCGGTCGACCTCGTACTTATGCAGTCGACCTCAGTTAATCAAAATGGTCGGCCTATGAGGTATTTGGGTTGACCTTTCATTATGTTCGCTTCCCGAAGAGGCCGGCCATTTTCTATAAGAGGTCAATCGCATCGTTGAACCTCACAAAACTGAAACGACATATTATGTCGACCTATTCCTATATAAGGTCGACCTAAAGGTGCAGATTAGGTCGACCTAATCTTATATGAGGTCGACCTAAAAGTGCAAGTTACTGTGACATGCATGTCACCGTAGCAAAGTCCTTTGTTTTATAATGTATATTTGCATATATTAAGGCTCGTCATTGTCTGATCATATGTGGACATATATTGGTAATAAATAATATACTAAAATATGATCATATATTGATGCTACCTAGTCAACAACATTTAGGGAATGCAAAACGGACACGTTTGGGTAACAAAAGTGTTTGAAAATTCTCATTTTCGTACTACTATACACATCTTTCACTTTTTCCCGTTCGTTTGATGCTTTATGTACTAAATACCTATAAAACATATATAGCACGTTTAATATAAATATTTATATTAAAATTTTAAGCGCACTATTATGTTAAACTTACTTATAAGGATCTGTAAGTAATATTACATAACGTTTATGTTTAAGAAAAAATATAATATGGATCATCTCATTAACTGTGTCCAACCCAATAATACTTTCAATGTTGGTGTTTTCACCTTCTTGTTTGTCTTATAAAAAAATAAGAGGAAAATCTGGATTAAACTCAGATATATATTTTCTTTTAGGTACTTAATATTATGAATCCCATTTAAACAACCTCAGCTATTTATGGTGGTCACTACAGTCCTTTGGAGAATCTGGCGATCATGAAACTGGGTTATTTTTTTTTAGGATAAACAGTTTGGGATCCCAGTTTTAATGCGGCAATTCCACCAGCAGTAGTATTAGGAGTGGGTAAGTTTGCCGGTTGGTAGGACTCAGTGGTTGACAGTCCCTCTCGTACAACCATTGGGGGTTGTACACCCTAGTCCAATTGTCTGTAAGAGGGATGGGGCAACCAAGCAGGAGTCCCATTCGGCGGGAGGGATGATTATCATGAATCAAGCTGGGATGTCCTCTTGGCTAAAGGGGTTCAGTTTGTGGGAATTGGTGATCCTTTGATTGCCGAGATGCTCACCCTCCGGGGGCTATTCTCTGGTGCCTGGCGTCTGGGTTTACGGAAGTGAGATTGGAAGGTGACACCAAGGTGGTTATTGATAAAAATCAATCGGTCTGGTACCAGGGATAACCGGATTGGAGCCCTTCTTGAGGAAGTTGTGCATTGTTTAGCGCTTCGTAGCGGGCTTAATATGCGATTTGTAGGACAGCGCAGTAATAGGATAGCCCACTTGGTGACTAGAAAAGCTCTTCATTTGTATCCGACTACGAGTCGCTTATTTAATTTTATGACCTGGTTAAATTCCATAATGTAATTATCTATTTTTCTGATCAATATATATGATTATCTTTCGTAAAAAAAAACTAATTTAAACACAAACTAAAAAGTTAGAGTATGTGTATGTCCTAAAACTAAACCTAGTTTGTATATAATTTGACTCATAATAAATTGGTTACTGACAATACCCAAATATTAGATTTTTTTTGTCAGGGTACATGTTTATTTATGCATAAAATTCCCCGGCCGGTAATTATGACATCCTCACATTCCTCACTTGATTGATTGTTTGGGGTGGAACCCTAATCATGATCACATGGAAGCCTTTATGTTAAAGCAAAAAGAAAACGCAACCCCTAATTCTATAACCCTGCATTGCCACAAAAGTGGACTCAACCAATCTATTGCCTATATACAATGTCAACTATGTTCGTCAAACAAAAATTCAACTTCGTATTCATAGATATATTGATGATGAACTCTGTTTTCCCCAAGAGTAAAAGTAAGTGAATTGCTGTTATTTCCTTATTTATTTATATTTTTAATTATCGTTCTGATTCTGAGTCAAGAGGAATGGATTTGATGTATATTCTCGCGTTCAATTTTCAAAATATCAATTTGGCTATTTTTTTGTCGATTATCCATAAAATTATGAGTATGAATCACTTGTTTCATGAATTTGACTTGTACTCATGAGACCAGAATAATCTCGAATGTATACCCAGAGATGCATAATCATCAAATACATAATTAATTAGTACACTCGCTTTCTTATACGTTATCAAGCCATGTCAAACTACAAATCTCTCTTAGCCAAGACAATTGGCAAATGATGATGAAATGTCACTATTTTCCCCTCTTGACAAAGGATGTTTAGGTGACAAGTCCAAATCGAAGAATTTCTCCCCAACATCAATCTGTCGTGGAAGAAGAAAACTAACTCCACTTATACATACTTTCACATGATTTGTGTATATACTTATCCAGCCGTGTTAAATGATAACAAACAAATTATATAATCTCAATAATTCAAGTGATTAAGAAAATATTTGTTAAGATTTTGTCTCTAATTTTCGCTCAAGTTTACAAAATTTAATAGGTAATACCATATACGTATATACCATTAACACAAAATTGAAAAATACTCCATGAATAAAAAATACTATTTAGATAACTCGAACGTCCATTTGTAAAAATTTGTTAGTTGTATCGCATCAATACAAAATCAGACAAATTATCCATGAAAATATAAAAAATATTATTTAGATAACTCAATTGCGAAATTATCACAACAAAAATTACTTCTGTTGATTCTCTGCACAACACAGAGTGGAGGTGGTTGTCAATTGAGTTCATGGAGGAAGTTGGATTGTAGCTGTTCAATATTTTTTCACCATGGATGAGTGCATTAGAAGATCTGCTTGATAGAGATGCTTTTTCCATATTTTCCCTTTTTTGCTTTCTGCCGCGTAGTGATTAACTAACAGGATCCAATGATCCCACTTAATTATATCCCACCATTAAGAAATTCTTAATTAATAATAATGTAATTACACCATACACTAATGCAATTTACTCCCTAGACAACATTGATAAGTGGTAACAAGTATGAGGTGTCGTACGACACGATTTGGTAGCCAATTTATTCTCCGAATATATATCACACAACAATATAATTGTTATTGTATAAAATAAACAGAACTAAACTGATTTATCTCTATTAGAGAAGATTGTATAAATGACTTTATTGACAATTATGTTTGTTGAGTAAAGTGAGACACAAAATTTTTGTATTAAATTTATAAATGTGGGAATGTGGTGTAAATTGTAGAATAAGAATGTTAAAACTTCATAAATTAGGAAATTTTTAGCAAACAACCATAGGTATAATTTAATAAAGAAAATCTTATTAGAAAAAGGCAAAAAATAGCTAGCCTTCAATTTCTAAATACAAGCCCGACAGGCTCGGAACCGAACCACCCTTCCACCAATGACCACTTTTTAAATTTAGGAAAAAAGGGAAAAAGAACTGAATTAAATAAATTAATAAATTAAAGAAAAGAGAGAAAAAGAGGGAAAAGGGCAAACCAGAGAGAGAAAGCGTAGGAAAAGTTTCCCTCTTCTTTCTTTCCCCCCCTCTCTTCCCTCTTCTTCTCCTTCTCCAAACTCTTGGAGATCTTCCTCTTCTGCATTCTCTTTGTTATCTCTCTTTCTCTCTGTCTCTGGGAGAGGAATCATAATAACATAACAATACTAATCCCCCCCATTAAGCAGAGATCGAGAGATAATAACTGCACAGAAAACACCATTGATTCATTCATATACTGACATATACATATCTATACAAACAGAGAGCGACTCTGTTCTCTCATTCGCCTGCTTTTAGTTTCTGGGTTTGCTGAATTCCATGGAAAAGCTCTGAAATTTGCTATTTCTCGTACTGGGTTGGTGTTAAGAAAGCCTTTTGGAGGAAGGAAGAAGAAATGGCGACGGAGCAAAGCTCTCCGCGTAACTCTCTGGTTTCAGTCGTGGAGGACGTTCTTCAGAAACATGGAATTCGAAGGATTGATTCGGCATCGAAAAAAGTCGACGAAACTTGTAAATGATCCCTTCGAAATTCTTCAAATAAATCCTTCCCTTCCATTTTCTTTCTTTTGATTGGTTGCTAATGTATGTTTGGATGATTGAATGAGAAACCGATTGAGATACGGGTATCAAGATTTTACCCACTTTGGGAGGGGAATTCTGAATTCTGGGTTCTGATTTTTCTTCTTTGTGGTTCGTGTTTCTGCAGCGGCTAGGCGGTACGAAGCGGCAGAATGGCTAAGAAAGATGGTGGGAGTCGCTGGGGGAAGCAAAGATTTGCCGTCGCAGCCATCGGAGGAGGAATTCAAGCTTGGATTGCGAAGTGGGATCATCTTGTGCAATGTGCTTAATAAGGTTCAACCTGGGAGGATCGCTAAGGTATTTCCCACCTTCCATGTGTTCGATCATTTGCCTCAGAGAAAAAGGAAAAAAATACTCATTCATCCATTTCCCCTTCCGTCAATCAATCTCTTGCTTAGGTAGTAGAAGGCCCTGGTGATTCATACAATACGGCTGACGTGGCACCACTATCAGCATACCAGTACTTCGAGAACATGAGGAATTTCCATGTAGCTGCTGAGGAAATGGGGCTTCCATCCTTTGAAAACTCTGACTTGGAGCAGGTCTGTGAGATATATTATGTTTCTCCATTGTACACTATTGTTGGGGACATAGATTTCTGCATTTAGTTACTTTTTGGTGAATTTCCAGGGAGGAAAGTCAGCAAGGGTTGTGAACTGTGTTTTGGCACTCAAATCGTACTACGAATGGAAGCAAAATGGAGGAACTGGACCATGGAAGTATGGTGGAACCCCTAAACCAGCAGCCTCACCTTTTGGGAAGTTTACAAGGAAGACTACTGAGCCATTTGGGAATAGAGGATCATCGTCGCCTTCTGGTGGCGATGGAGATGCTAATCGTGATGATTCTGAAGCAGTCAGTGAGCTTTGCTTGTTATGTTAACTCTTAGTGTTTGATCCGGGATTTATGTGATGTTTGGAAAGAAATGTAAAAGCCTAACGGGAGCTTCAACTTTCTCAGGCGGGACCTCGTTCGTTGAACATGCTAGTTCAGGCAGCTCTTTCACATAGAAACCAGGAAGAAATCCCCAATGTAAGTGTTTATAATCTAAAGCTCTTGGTATTGCTCTGAATGTGGGACCGGATTTCCCAATTGAATGCATTCTCTTAACAGATTGTGGAATCTATGCTGAGTAAATTGATGGAGGAGTTTGAGCGTCGGCTGGCAACTCAAAGTGAAGCGGTAAGTTGACAAAACATCTTGATGGTTGGTTGAGGTATAAACAACTATTTGAATTTTGCATTTTTTTGCTTATGGTCATATTTCAAGCAGATAAAGGCAGCAGAGAAGGAAGTTGCAGTATCAACTGCGGAATATTCTCCTCCCGAATCTCCTTCTAGCGATGCGAAGATGGAAGATCAAGCTTCTCCACAGATGAATAGGGAGGATCCTTACCGTGTGGAGTCGGGCAATTTGCAGTATTGTACGTATGAGGAATTGGATGAACTGAGCCATGAATCTAAGAGAAAGCTTGCGAGACGGAGAATGTTTGTTGAACAACAACAGATGTACATTCAGGTAATACAGACATATTAAATGCTAATAACATTTCTAGACAGTGGAAACCTAACTAAGGTGTTATTTGACTAGTAGAATTGAGTGGTGAATTTGAGTATTTTTGTTGTAATTGTGATTGGTGAGTGGACAGTGGCAATGAAAGATATTTGGATCAAGTTTGCCCTCAAAAGATCCCAGAAAGAGAGTGAAAAATGTAAGAGGGAAATAGAAAATTGATCTTTTGTTCATGCGACCCACATTCCTCTCACTAGTAAACCATCCAACTATCAACATTTTTAGTGACCATAATCTATTTCAAATGCTATATATTCTGAACAATATACCTATTTCTACCATCTACCGGCCAAACAACCCCTAATATGCTGATGTTAGTGCCTTTAGGAACTGAGACGAAACCTCCATGCAACGAGATCAGGAATGCAGCTTATGCGGACAAAGTACTTGGAGGAGTTTAACAACCTAGGTAGGTGATTACTGATCAATCTCTTGCAGCTAAATTTTCCTCTGCGGAAGGCCTAAAGTTCTCATTTCTGTGACAGGGAAGCACTTGTATAGTCTCGCTCATGCCGCTTCAGGATACCAAAGAGTCCTTCAAGAGAATCGCAAGTTATACAATCAAGTACAGGACCTGAAAGGAAACATTAGAGTATACTGTAGAGTGAGACCATTTTTGCCAGGGCAAGCTAGTCGATTCAGTTCTGTGGATCACATAGAGGAAGGAAATATCTCAATTATCACACCTTCAAAGTATGGGAAAGAAGGGAGGAAGAGTTTCAGCTTCAACAAAGTTTTCGGACCTATGGCTACTCAAGGTCAGTAAAGAAAGCTTATCTACACCTTGTAAGCTCCATTTCGTTGTCACATTGCCAGAACCCGCTTTTGTGATACCCTTTTGCTTTTGATTGCAGCTGAAGTGTTTGCAGATACGGAGCCATTGATTCGTTCTGTTCTTGATGGGTATAATGTCTGTATCTTCGCTTATGGCCAAACTGGATCTGGGAAAACTTACACCATGGTAAGAACATAACACTGAAATTTAATACCTTCTGAATATTAGGCGTGGCAAATATCAACCTAACCCAAACACATTTGATCTATATCTTTTTTTTTTTCCTTTGACAATTATGATCAATATCCATTGAGTTGGTCGGTTGATATGCTTCTGAAATCTGCATTTAGTACTTTAGTACTTTTGTGTCTAACCCATATTAGCTAAACTTTCATAAATGCTCAAAAAGTATTGCATAAAATATTATAGGTTGGTTAGTACATAAATTACCGTTAATAATCCAAATGTCCTCAAATCAAATTAAAATTTTCAACAGAATGCCATGGATCCCAGCTCATTTAATTTCAACCTTGAACCTACAAACTCATGAACCAGCCAACCTAACCCACCAACTCAACCCATGTGCCACCTCGAGCTCTCTTTCATTATGTATCAAGTAAGTTTGATCTTGTTTGTCTCATTTTGAAACCAGAGTGGTCCAAACGAGCTTACGGAAGAAAGCCTAGGTGTCAACTACAGGGCATTAAGTGATCTTTTCCAGTTATCAGCTCAACGGAAAGAAGTTATCAGCTATGAGATCTCATGTCAGATGCTCGAAATTTACAATGAGCAAGTGAGAGATCTCCTTACAAGTGACGCTCTCAACAAAAGATATCCTTTCCCTATTGTCGTTGTCCAGTTTCCTGATAATTCCTTGCATTTTCCATTACCTCTACTATCCAAATGTTTCATCTTTAACAGCTGCATACATTAGAAATACGCAACAGTTCTAGCAATGGAATCAATGTACCTGAGGCTGTCCTAGTACCAGTTTCATCAACTTCTGATGTCATAAACTTGATGAACACCGGGCATAAGAATCGTGCAGTGAGTGCTACAGCTATGAATGATCGGAGTAGTCGATCCCATAGGTGAGTCTTTGTTTCTAATTCCTTAACTTTATGTCTCAATTGGGAACTGCAAGGGGCCATTTGGTAACAAGACAATTGTACAATGCATGCATTCGGATAATTCAGACATTATGAAGATGTAATTTTATAAAGGTGTAGATTATTAGAAATACTTGATTTTCGTTCTAGATTCTGGACAATCGTTGACATTTAAAAGACTAAAAACAGATTTCTCTGTTACGTTGGAGCTAATAGCATCTGATTGCATCAATTGCAGCTGCCTGACTGTTCATGTTCAAGGAAGGGATCTGACATCCGGAAATGTAATTCGTGGCTCCATGCATTTAGTTGATCTTGCCGGCAGTGAAAGAGTAGACAAGTCTGAGGTGACGGGAGACCGATTGAAGGAGGCTCAGCATATCAACAAGTCCCTTTCTGCATTAGGAGATGTGATTGCTTCTCTTGCAGTTAAAAGCAATCATGTTCCTTACAGGAACAGTAAACTCACACAGTTACTCCAAGACTCACTCGGTAAGAAAATGCAAAGAGAAAAAGGATTTATGCTTTCCTTCCTATTTATTGTAATCGCATCTTTTAACTGTAATAATTTTCTGTCAGGCGGGCAAGCCAAGACACTAATGTTTGTCCACATAAGTCCTGAGCCTGACGCTCTTGGAGAAACACTCAGTACATTGAAATTCGCTGAACGGGTTGCTACTGTTGAGCTTGGTGCAGCTAAGGTTAACAAGGAAAGCACAGAGGTTAAAGATCTCAAAGATCAGGTCTTTTTCACCATCTCTTGGCTTGCTTTCCATTTGGTGAGTCAGCATTTTTCCTCTTTAAATATAAAGCTAAACTCTCGGCTGGTATTCTCAGATTGCTAGCCTCAAGGCAGCTCTGGCAAGGAAAGAAGGAGGGGAAATGGACCAATCCCAACATTCTGGATCAAGTACTCCAGAAAGATTCGGATCAAAGACTGGTGGAGCTTCTCCTACCCAGCACAGTTGGCATGGTGGAAGTAGCAGCATGTCAAATGGTCATGGGCAAGCAACGGAAGAAGCCAGCAGCAACCAGGTGAGAGAAGAAAGAACTATCCTGATTGTGTTATAGTCTTTTCCAACAAAGTCAATCTTAAATTAACCCTTGCTTGCATTACACTCTTTTCCAGGGTATGAAAAACTTAACATCATCACTGTCCATGGGACGAAGGAGAAGCTTGGACCCTTATGATTTACGAGTAAACCCACCGCCAACATGGCCAGCCATTGAAAGGGCAGCATCAGAGAATGGGAAGGAAGATGACAAGGAGTCATGTTCAGGTGAGTGGGTTGATAAGGCAGTGGTGAACAAGAATTATGAGCAGTGGGAGGCGGAGAACATCAGACAATTGCCAGATCCATTTCATCAGGGTTTTGCCAGGATCCATCCTGAAGTGTCATCATTTAATTATAAACCTGCAGCAAACAACAACAGAAAGGACAGCTACCAGCAGCACCACCAAGATTTCGATGCGAGGAGCAGCAGGTGTGAAGTAATGTCCACTGATGGTTCGGATGATCTAGACGCCGGCACCAGTGATTCATCTGAGCCAGACTTGATGTGGCAGTCTTCTTCTGCTGCTGCTTCAAATGTTGCTAGAATGTCCAACCCCAGCAGCCTTCCCACCTTAGCAGGAGGCGGTGGTACTAAAGTAAAGAAGCTGAATACTAAGTCATTGAAGACCACAGAGATCAGGTATTTTCTCCAGTCATGTTCAGTACAAAGACTCGGCCTAACGTAAAAAAATTAAGACAACCGTTAATTTTGTTGACACATTGTTTTCAAAGTGACAATATATAACACTGAAATTATCTACTCTGGTACAAATATGTCACACATTGTCTTGTTACACATCGATAGAGCTTTGAATGATGCTGACATGACTTCTTGGCATTCTGTTGAAACTTTTATATCGGTGTAGTTAACTTTTAGATCTAACTTAACGCATATGGATGGATGAGGTTATTTCATTGTTGGGTAGAGTTGAACTTGTATAAAAATGGGTTGTCGATGTCAGCTTATTAGGCAACAAAGTTAACAGAAATTGACAAATTAAACATTTCATTACTTGTGCTAAATTTAAGGAGAAAAGGCTAGAAACCCAAGTTTGGTCACCTTATTGTTAGTCATCCCAAAGTTAAAGAGTGACAATTTATGTTGTAACTGACTGACCCTGTTTGAGAGAAGATCACTCCTTGTGTATTCATTTTTTACCATGTTTCTTTTTTCTCTTCTTGGTTTTTGTTCAGCAGGAGTATGATCCCATCGTTGATTCCTTCTCCTTCATCAACTGCAAAGAAAATACCTAATGGGGTTAGTTTGGGGCTAAAGAAGCCACAAAAGCAACAAATCCTGATGGATGGGAAGAGGAAAAGTGGGTTTGCAAAGTGATCCATCATGATGAGGAGAGAACGATATTTTGTGTATAAAGATTGTGGATTTGAGGAACTATCAAACATGGGAAACTCTTATGATGATGTTTCACTTTGAGGTTTTTTCTTTTGGTTTAGTATATAGAGAAAAAAAGAAAGCACAGACAGAGAGGAGTGGGGGAATTGAGAGAGATGAGGATATGTTTTTTTTTCCTTTCTATTTTTTGATTTGTGGGTTGGTTTGAGAGAATTTATTGAAGAAAGGCAATCTTTTTTGCTTGTGTTGCCCTTTCCTGTTTGTTGGGTGGTTGATTTTATTGAAGTGACCAAAAGAAAGAAATGAGAATTGTAGAGTGTCTTTCTCTTCCAACTTTACCACTCTTTGTGAACTCCTCAACTTTGGTTTTGGTTTGGTGTTCTTTAACTTTTTGGTAGAGTGGTTTGAGAATTAGTTTTGCATTTGATCATTTGAAAGTGAACGAGTTGAAATTAAATACGGAAGTTGAATTGAGGTGAGACGAATAAACAGGGAAGCTGAATTGAGGGATGACGAATGATAGTTTAATCCGTTCCACTTTAAAATAACGACTTCAGCCTTTTTATATGTTCTCCTGGGATAGAGGGATTTGCACGGTGAATCGGTGATATCTTATCACCGTAGAGCAAGAAAAGATTTTTATGATAAGTTGAAACTAAACATTATGGTAGTTATAGCATTTTGAAAACTGAAAATGCATTGTAAAAGTCATGACAATAACGAGTCGTGACTGAAAGGGTGAAGATGATATGTAAGTGGGAAAAAAATGTTTACGTGAGCAAGTACATTTCCATCGATTAAGATGAGGTCTAACCGTAAGAATAAGTGCTTGGGTGCCTATGAAACATCAAGGATGGAGGTTTAGTAATGTTAATAAAATTAACTTCAACTTACAAATTTTTACTGTGGAGTTAGATCATCGAATTTCTCTTCATGGACAAATGGAGTCGTCGCTGCTCTCTCATCAACTTTGAGAGGGATGCTTTCAGTTCCTCTAAGTGGGCGCTATAACGTTGAATTCCCGATGAATGGCTTTCATGGTGATGATCAACTGAGGTAGCTGAAGATGTAGCTTCACCTCTATTCTTAGCCTTAGTTAATCGGATGTTTTGTGATTGGAGGAAATATGTGCTGACGTGGCAGTTTGAGGAGAATAGAGATTTGAATCCATGAAGTTCTTCATGAGAAAGTCTTTATTATAATTTTTAGATTAGATGATCAACAAAGATTTATCGGTTAAAATAATAATAATAATACTGAGAATTATTAATACCACTAAACCCAAAAAATCAATAAAAATGCATTTAAAAATGAGGGTTTTGTAATTTAAAAACCCAAGGATTTATCAAGGATTTGAGGCATTACGGATTTGCAACAATCCTTTGTTTGTTTATATGTTTTATCATGAATTCAAGGATTTGGATTTAGAACTTAAAGTCCAAAATTACGATATTATCCTTTTATATTTGTTTATCATGTTGATGATATGTACACAAAACAAGAACAATACGTACTAATAAGCATTAAGTTACCACAAGGACAATAATTATAAACGAGAAAATTTCGTTCAACTTTTAATGTAACATATATCGGTTACCAATTTTTATCATCCTTATCAAAAGTAACATATAGCAACATATATTAGAATCGGGGAACAAAAAATTACGGTTCCATGAAAAAGGTCAAAGGAAACTAGAATAGAAGAAAGAGTATAAAAAATGTAACTCATGTTTACACATTAATTGAATATTTATATTATTTCTTTCTTGTTAATTAATTAATTATTTACAATGTATAATAGGTAAATGTGAGGACAACCTTGAAATTTATAAAGTTCACTGAGGTATATGAGTAAAATCCCATCATGGAGTTATGACATGTTACAAATTCCTCATCAATATGTGAAATTTAAAAGTCGGTGGGATCCACGAATTTGGACCCTTAAAATCAGTGAGGCCAATGAATTGGGTCCCTAAAAGTAATGCAAGAAAACAATGGATTTTACTTAAATCAACGATGAAATGAATTTCAGAATTTGGGTACCCAAATCTATCTTCCAAATCCACAAAGCAAATGACCCCTAAAAGACAATTCTGCTATCGGGACTCGAACCCAGGATCCCCTTGCGAGAATCGGTTAGCTTTTCCTTGCTTGATTTAATTAGCTACAACGGACTTGTGACAACTCTTTTGTCGTTTGTTTATTTATTATACATTTCCTCAATCGTTGTACGAACAACTTTCAATATCTCCTCTTGATCATAGCATTAACTGGTTTGTTTTGGAATGAAAATTTTGTATTTTACTGCAAAACTCATAAACACTAAATTTATATATATTTTTAGAAAAATCGGGCAAAGATCTAAACATCTCCATTCTATTTTAAAAAAATAGAAATGTTATAAATGTATTAAATTTCCATAAATTTGCTGAAAAATGGTGGAAATTAAAATAAAATAGTAAAAATTTGGCAGAGATAGGTTGAAATCTCGATCCAACTATGGATGTGATGGGTTGAAAATCCTACCTCTCCATCGTCGAGATGTGTTAAAAATTCATTCCTGGTGCAATGGATTTTCAAATCATCATGATAAGAATTTGCAGAAAAATTAATGTTCTTCCAGTTTTGTTGTTTGTTTGGTGTAATTGTGTGTATTTTTTTATAAATGGATGCAGCGCATCTAGCTTTCATTCACAACCAAACGAGTCTCAAAGAGACTCTGACAATCATACAAAAGTAAATGAGACAGATTAGGGGTGGAACTCAAAATACAATGGAAGACCAAAGGCAAAGAATGTCCAAGCCCTACAAGGCAATCTGCACTTTTGTTCGCCTCGCGATAAATGTGATAAATTATGACCTCCCGGTCACGGGTCACTAGCTCCTGGAACCTGTTAACGATTGCGGCATGTTGGTGGTCCCAGTGCTCGACGCTGGTCAGTAGCTGAACCGCGTACTAGGAGTCCAACTCCACATTGACCCGACGATAGCTCAAATTTCAGGCCAGCTGAAGACCTTCCACTGCTCTCCTCAATTCTGCTCGGGTGATAGAACATGCATCCAAGTTATATGTGAATGCTGACAAGCAGCATCCAGTATGATCTCTTAACATGCAACCTGCCGCAGCGTGACCGGAATCTGTGTTGACGGAGCCATCTAAATTAAGGGTAACCCACCCTGGAGATGGCGGCTTCCACAGGATCTCCACCTCCGTTCTCATGGGCAGACGAGGTTTATGGACTAACCTGTCTTTGTCAATGGTAGGTATTCCGCACTACGTGTATCCATGCCACGACACGCAGGTAGAAGGCTTCAACTGGCACACAAGGCCGAACTCAAGAATGAAGTGTTTGACTCGCACAAAACTACACCGCGAATTAATCCCGACTAGAACCCAAGTTTTTAAACTCTAGCCGGGTACAGTATAGGGCAAGTATTTAATCGTCAAACCCGGGCCGGTCCTATGTACCCCTACTTCAATCACTTAGGTTGTTATCTAGCAAAATGGTTTTGGGTTTAAAACTAAAAAAACTACAAATAAAAACAAGCAAGTAAAGTAAATCGAGGTCGTCCCAATGAGAGAAGAGTTCACTTGGGTGTTGCTCCCCCTAGCTAACAATTACGACTTGTTGAATCGAATAGTCATGTGTGGCGAGGGGGCTGTAAACAGTAGGGAAGTCTAAAAAGTAGCCAAAGCTACCCTCTTAGTCTCTAGGTCGAGGAAAGGGGATACGATCCAAGCCAATAATGCGACTCTCTCAACCTATTGACTAAGGATTGGTTAGACTTCACCCTCGAATCGGAGTTCGGACGACCACCCACAAGGCCACAACCAAACCCTAGGTGCTAATACGAAATAGGAGGTTTGCCCTGCATTAACCTAACTAGGAGACAATGAATTGCCCAAGAAAACCAAGCATTAAAGCCTCTTTCACATAAAGGAAGGGGGTTTTCTCTCTACCTAGTTTAGAATGGCAATTAGATTGATAAGCTTTCACACAACACAATCATTCATGAATAATACCTCCACATTCACATAAAACACAACCACAACACAAATCATTCAATTCATACAAGCATTCACATAATTGTATCTAGGGTTCACAACACCCATGTGAATAGGTAGGCTATTTCATAGCTAGGTAAAGGAAAACAAGAAAGAGGAGAGAAAGAACCATGAAGAGATGACAATCTTCCTTCCTCCTTGCTTGAATATCCCATGAGAGGTAAGAATCTTCATTCCTCTAGCTTAGGGCCAGCCCAAATCTCCTTCTTCCTCCTTTGAATGGAACTCTATCTAGAATAGGAAGAGGAAACCCTAATATCTCACTAGAAACCCCCTTTTATTCTACACACTAAAAACTTGCTAAAAGCTCCCCCTTCTCCTTCAGCTTCCTTCTCCTTTTATACCCAGATCGGGCTCTGTTCACGGTCCAAGACCTTAGTTCACGGCCGTGTTGATCAGATCACGGTCTTAGACCTCAGTTCACGGCCGCGTTGATCAGTAACCTCGAAAACCCCTCTGGACGCATCGCGGTTCACGGTTTGTGGTCGCAGTTCACGGTCCTGGAGACCGTGAACTCTGGCTGAATCCTCCTCTTTGCCCGGTCTCTGCTCCTTTTCTTCCAACTTTCGACTCCGGGGTTGGTTTCACTTGTTAGACTCTAAAACACATTGAAACACAAGAAACCTAGCGTAAAACCACCCTTTTTTTAGCCCAATTGCTACAAATGTCAAAGAGAAATGGGGATAAAATGTGTACAATTAGGCCCGAATCACTACCCCACACTTAGACGTTTGCTTGTCCCCAAGCAAACCAAGTACAACACAAGGTAGCTCGCAACTTCTTTTTCAACAAAATTTTTGGGGCATGTCATAGGGCACAAAACGAATGAATCACAATGGTTCTTTGACACCGACCTATGGACAAAAACACAGTAATCTTGGCAACCCCCACAAACGACCTTCAACTGTATTAAGGTTGTGCAAATGAAGAGTTCTCTCATTATTTATCAACCAACACATAACCTGCTTCGACGACTCACCAATCACTCATGCATGAAGATCACATCATAAGAACGAACGATCGAGCAACCTAGGTCCTCACCGGGGTATAAGAAATGAACAAAATATGAAGAATGAATCACTCACTCTCGATCAGTGGGGTCAGGACCATTTGATGCAAAAGATGTGCATATTCAAGTTCAATCCTAATGTCCCTTTACCATGACGATAACCTCTAAATGTTAGAGTTCACAAGATGGGTGTTGTCGCTAGCTTGTCCGACGGTCTTTGACACAGGTTCAAATGACTGACTAGGGTCTAGGACATGGGGAAAAGACTTTTTGGGTGGTGGCACGTATTTCATGAGGTTCCACAACTTCAACATAGAACCAAAGTACAAGGTTCCTTAGCTTCGATCTAGAACCTTCCTCAACAAACAATGGCCATTAAAAACGGCCAAAAACCACACTT